AGTCTTAAATCAACACCTCTAAAAGACTAGACAATAACGGGTCAACGTGTATTTACTCCCCATCAAACAACGGATCAACTTTAAAATATAACTTCTGATTTGCAAAGCCCTCAACAACCTCTGTGAGTTACTCGACTCGAGGAGACCCTGAACGCACCATGAGCCTCTGTGAAGGTCTTTCTAGTTTATTTATATTTATTAAAAGTAAGAACACAGAGAAAAAGACAAAAGTGAATCCTGAAATAGATCAGAAGACATCTTGTCTCTGCAGAAAGAGGACGGTAAGAGGAACAGAGGAAACTGAGATATAAATACTGTCTGCACTCAGAAATAACCCTGAGGGGTCCTTCACTGAGAGGGTCACACACACACACACACACACACACACACACACACACACACACACACACACACACACACACACACACACACACACACACACACACACACACACACACACACACACACACACACACACACCACACACACACACACACACACACACACACACACACACACACACACACACACACACACACACACACACACACACACACACACACAAAACAAAATGTTCATTAGGGTGTATTATTGTTGTTATTATTTCCTCTTAATGCATATTTAATTAATTTAGTTTTATTTTTCTGTCATCGCATATATCAATTTTAAGTATCATTATATTTTATTTAAATTAATATAATTATATATTTATACGGTCAGGGTGAAGGAGCAGATCCTCCCGATGATGCAACACGAGGTCACCATGGAAACGGCTTGAGTTCCCACGGCAACAGAGAAGGGAAGCCATGGTCACCGGGCCATCCCCCCGTGGAGACACACACACACACACACACACTTCTGATCTGACCCTTCCTACTGCCTGTACTGCAGTGGTTCTCAAAGTGGGGGGCACAGAGGCATGCCAGTGGGTCTCTAACGTTTTGGTCACCATTTATGTAAACAAGTATTTCCGAGGCACACGTTTATATGATCATTATAGTTATAAAAAAATAAGAGAATAAATGAAAAACAGGTATGAAATACTATATGACAGTAAAACAAGAATAAAGTTTAAAAGGGTGATTTGTAAAATATCCATAAAGAAAAAGTAAATCTGTTTACAGTTCTGTTTCAAATGGGTGTTGAGAGAGGTATCCATAGATCTCTCCATGTTGCTCTCAAAGTGCACCAGATTGATGCTTTTAACTTCAATATTTAAAAAACAATCTGGTATAAAAATAGCACTTTACCCCTGCTTACACGTATATGCCGTGAGCTGATTATCGAGCCTTCATTGTAACAGTCGCGGGTACACTGTATATGTGTGAGCAGTGTTGCAGTAGAAAGTTCCTCTGTAGCGCCCGGTACATTAATGGGAAACCCTAAATGTTTGAGCACCCTCTATGAAACGTCAAGCTACCCCACAGCACCCCCAAAATAAATCTCTGGCGCCGCCACTGAGCCTGACTATTTGTGTTGGGGGGGCCCGCCTGACAGAAAAAGTTTGAGAACCACTGCTGTACTGTGACAACTTTTCACCCTCTGTCTGAAACCAGAGCCCAGTCTGCTCTGTTGTGATTGGTCAACCAGCTTAGAGATGTCCCGCCCCTTAGTCAATCAGGTACAATGTGTTGGAGCGCTAGCCAATAGTAGCGCGAGTGTTCAATACTGATGTCACTAGGTTCCAGAAGTAAACAAAAGGAGTTCAATGGAGGCGCGTGTGTGTGTGTGTGTGTGTGCGTGTGTGTGTGTTTGTGAGGGTTAGGGTTTTTTTGTGTCCTAAAGATCAGACTGCATTCGTTCTATGAACATAACGCTGTTAGTCAAATTAGATTTCACAGAGATTTAGATGATTTAGAGATGTTTTCATCTCACCAAAATATTCTGCTTCTATCCGTATTTATTACAAAACCAATGAGCTCACAAACTGTTTTCTGCACACAGAAGATTTAATGAAACAACACTAACTTATTTAAAGAAAGAATATCCCTTTCCATCTGAAATGGAGCAGCTGTCATGAAACCCCGGCTCTTCTGATGATGCAGACACAGAGATGTATAATCAGGAATTTGCCCAAAGCTGCAAACATGTATTTTTGGCGGCTCCCTGACGGAGTAGAAAATATATCCAAGTGTCAAAACATGTAGATCTAAACACAATAAACAACAATAAGAGCCGTGCAGAAGGAGAGGTGGTTTGTTGTTGTGCCGTCTCTCGTGTGATAAATGAGCCTGCAGCTTTAAACTGAATTAAATCAGATTAGAGTCTTAATGACATTAGGAACATAACGGGCCTGTTTCCAGAGGCTGGTTCACCGGGAGAGACACGGCGGTTTGGTCCAATGTTAGAAATATAAATATACTGGCTCTGAGGCTCTTCTACATCACCGAATAATGTGTTGGTTCTTCCTGTTAAAGAGTAACTGATCTAAGTTAGCACAGCGTCACCAGCTTTACCTCACAAAGAAACAGCTTTGAGGCATTTCAGCTCTTCAGGTGAGAAACTACAATAATATGTGATTACTTTATCCAATAAACGTATATTAGAGGTATTACGTTGATGTTTGGAGCTGTGAGGAGCCGCTGCTGTACGAGAGCAGCCGGTCTGCTTGAGGTGACACAACTGCTTCTACTCAAAATGCAGACTTTTATTATTTTTTTATTCATATATCAAAAAAACAATATTTTTACCCATAATGATGACTTTTTATAAAGATCTCAAAATTCTGATTTTTTTCTCAAAATTCTGACTTGTTCTAAAAAAACTCAAAATTCTGACTTTTTCTCAAGATCTCAAAGTCCTGACTTTTTTCTCCAAATTCTGACTTTTTTTCCCCAAATTCTGACTTTTTTCTCCAAATTCTGACTTTTTCCAAAAATGTCAAAATTCTGTCTTTATTCTTTACTTCACCATCACCTCAATAAGATATAAAATGAGCGTTAAACAGGAAGTGATGGAAAGGGGCGGGGCTTCATTTTCTCTATGAAGACACTCCTAGCTTCAGGTCTCCATGTTACAGTAATGCGACTCCGTTATACGTCAATACATCTCTTGACTTTCATGTTTTATGGAGAAATGCGTCCATAAATTCTCTCAGAAACCACAGAAGAAGAGGCGCTGACCTTTAATGGAGGCGCTGAGACTGGGTGAGTTTTATGATTTATATTATATTACATATATTATATTACATATCCTCCCTCCTTCGCTCTTCGACTGTCACTGAGTTTAAAGGATTATAACGTTAGGAAGTGGATCCTCTAAAGTTTTCTCCTGTAAAATAAGCCTGAAAACCCACCCTCAGGAAACACAGAGAGTGTTCTGATGAATTAGGCTCTAAACAACACTCGAGGGACATCACAGAAAAACGAGTCTCAGTGAAAACGAGTCTCAGTGAAACAAGTCTTTGTAAACGAGTCTCAGTGAAAACGAGTCTTTGTAAACGAGTCTCAGTGAAACAAGTCTTTGTAAACGAGTCTCAGTGAAACCGAGTCTTTGTAAACGAGTCTCAGTGAAAACGAGTCTTTGTAAACGAGTCTCAGTGAAACAAGTCTTTGTAAACGAGTCTCAGTGAAACAAGTCTTTGTAAACGAGTCTCAGTAAACGAGTCTTTGTAAACGAGTCTCAGTGAAACAAGTCTTTGTAAACGAGTCTCAGTGAAACAAGTCTTTGTAAACGAGTCTCAGTAAACGAGTCTTTGTAAACGAGTCTCAGTGAAACAAGTCTTTGTAAACGAGTCTCAGTAAACAAGTATTTGTAAACGAGTCTCAGTGAAACAAGTCTTTGTAAACGAGTCTCAGTGAAACAAGTCTTTGTAAACGAGTCTCAGTGAAACAAGTCTTTGTAAACGAGTCTCAGTAAACGAGTCTTTGTAAACGAGTCTCAGTGAAACAAGTCTTTGTAAACGAGTCTCAGTAAACGAGTCTTTGTAAACGAGTCTCAGTGAAACAAGTCTTTGTAAACGAGTCTCAGTGAAACAAGTCTTTGTAAACGAGTCTCAGTAAACGAGTCTTTGTAAACGAGTCTCAGTGAAACAAGTCTTTGTAAACGAGTCTCAGTGAAACAAGTCTTTGTAAACGAGTCTCAGTAAACGAGTCTTTGTAAACGAGTCTCAGTGAAACAAGTCTTTGTAAACGAGTCTCAGTGAAAACGAGTCTCAGTGAAAACGAGTCTCAGGAAACGAGTCTCAGGAAACGAGTCTCAGGAAACAAGTCTTTGTAAATGAGTCACTATAGACGAGTCTCTTGAGTAAACAAGTCTTAATACGACAGTAAACGAGTCTCAGTGTGTCAGGTGACTCTCCTGTTTCCTGTTAACACACCTGTAAACTCGTTAATGTGTCAGGTGACTCCTGTGAACTCGTTAGTGTGTCAGGTGACTCCTGTTAACACACCTGTAAACTCGTTAGTGTGTCAGGTGACTCCTGTTAACACACCTGTAAACTCGTTAGTGTGTCAGGTGACTCCTGTAAACGCGTTAGTGTGTCAAGTGACTCTCCTGTAAACTTGTTAATGTGTCAGGTGACTCCTGTTAACACACCTGTAAACTCGTTAGTGTGTCAGGTGACTCCTGTAAACGCGTTAGTGTGTCAAGTGACTCTCCTGTAAACTTGTTAATGTGTCAGGTGACTCCTGTTAACACACCTGTAAACTCGTTAGTGTGTCAGGTGACTCTCCTGTTAACACACCTGTAAACTCGTTAGTGTGTCAGGTGACTCTCCTGTTAACACACCTGTAAACTCGTTAGTGTGTCAGGTGACTCTCCTGTTAACACACCTGTAAACTCGTTAGTGTGTCAGGTGACTCTCCCGTTAACACACCTGTAAACTCGTTAGTGTGTCAGGTGACTCTCCAGTTAACACACCTGTAAACTCGTTAGTGTGTCAGGTGACTCTCCTGTAAACTCGTTAGTGTGTCAGGTGACTCTCCTGTTAACACACCTGTAAACTCGTTAGTGTGTCAGGTGACTCTCCTGTAAACTCGTTAATATAAACGTTGACTCACATGCGTGCAGAGAGAAGTGTTTTCTTTCCGTAGAGTTCGTGTTGGCAGCAGCTGACGGGATCGCAGGAGTCACAGCTGATCCCAGAGAGCCAATCACAGGCCGGGAGGAGGAGGAGGCAGGGAGTGATGAAGAGGAGGAGGAGGAGGAGGATGAAGAGTCCTCCCCCAACAGGTGCTGGATGGAGTGCAGCTGGAAACACGGATCAGACAGCAACACTGAGGAGGCCCGGGAGATCCTGGGGGAGGAGGGGGAGAACGGTTAGTAAGATGGGAGGTAACACAACTAATGTGGATGTAAACAATGGAAAACTTCATCACAGGTTCATCAACAATGCAGCAATAATAAGACAACAACAACAACAACAAGAGGGTTCATGGATTTTTTTGTTGAAAAGACAGAGAGTTTATTAAACCGTGCAGCTCAGTAAAGCATTTAAGGGAAAAGATATGACTTTCATATTAAGATTCAATAACAAGCTTCTTTGAGCATTAGGAAAAGTGCTATCAAAATCCAATGTGTTATTGTTATTGTTATTATTATTATTATTATTATTATTATTATTATTATTATTATAATAAACGTAAATTTATGAAAATAACATTGTACATTTTGGAGGCAAAACATTTTTTACATTTAAAGAAAACTAAATTATAAGATAAAAAAGTTGTGGTGTTTAATTAGAATATATAATATTTAGGAAACAAATGTATTTGGGAAGAAAGTTTTTTAGCATTCAGGATTTTTCTTTCAGGAGTAATTTGTGATATTAAGTTAAAAAAAAAGTTATATTTGGTAGTAAAAAAATCTAATATTTAGGGGGAAGTTATTTGATATTTGGAAAGAAACAATGTGTTGTTTTGAAATGTATCTTTCAAAATGTTGACAGAAACATTTGTAATAATTGGAAAAAGTGAATTAGGTTTGAATCCTGAAGAGTGAATATAATTGACGCCACCAGCGAAGACAGGCCGATGACAGCGGAACGAGTTCATATGAAATAAAACACGTTAATGAAAACAAAGGGAGTTGATATGAGGAGCATCAGAGGAGCTTCCTGCTGAGCGTCAGCGGAGAAACACAACCTTTACCTCCAAAATCTGCTCTGACCTTTTCATTACAGCCGCCATGACACTTCACACAGAGAGCCTCCCCCCTCCTCCTCCTCTTCCTCCCCCTTTACTCTGTCTTTGTGAAGAGGCAGTGAGCGTCAGGATGGAAAATATCCCGTCTTTGTGCCGCTCTTTAATTACGATCCTACAAAAGGCCAAAGTGCCGAGGCTGACACGCTCGTTGTTCTGAGAGAAAATGAAAAAGTGGAGGAACTCACATGTGATCAAATGAACCCTCGACGATCAAAGGAACAAATGAAGTCTTAAATGTTAAAGGTGTTTCTGAAGGTTGTTTCCAGCCTTTTCTCTGTTGTATATCTTATTATAGTGAATATCTTTGGACATTTCACATCACATGGACTTGAGGAACTAATATTAACATGTTTTGTCGTAAAAATTGACAATTATGTAAAGAGAAAGGCATTGAAAGAGTTTGGGGAACAAGATGGTAAACCAAAAAGGAACAGAGAGCGCTAACCCTCCATCGAGGCTCACAGATACAATCTCCAGGGATGATGGGGATCGAACCAGCAATCGTACGGTTTTAAGACAACTGCTCTACCAATATTGACGATCATAACAGGATGCAGTGAGGGCAAGTCGAGTACTATGTCGGGAACTCAATTATCCAATTCATTCAGGATCACTTGCATGCAGAGCAGATGTGACCGTGTGAACAGAGTGATGTGTTTCATTCATTTTCAGAAGCACACTTAGTTCTTTCTCAGCCGACGCTACACTCTTTAAATGTTCTGTACTTATACATCTCTTTATCAGGTCTCTTCCACCGACCCACTCGCTCACTCGCTCACACACTCACTCACTCACTCACTCACTCACTCACTCACTCACTCACTCACTCACTCGCTCGCTCACACACGCGCACGCTCACTCGCTCACACACTCGCTCACACACTCGCTCACTCACTCGCTCACTCACTCGCTCACTCACTCGCTCACACGCTCGCACACACGCTCGCCCGCTCGCGGAGGAGAATCTCTATGATCTTCATTGATCCTACATCCATCATGTACCCTGCTTCCTTACATGTTCCCTGCTTCCTTACATGTTCCCTACTTCCTTACATGTTCCCTACTTCCTTACATGTTCCCTACATGTCCCCTGCTTCCTTACATGTTCCCTGCTTCCTTACATGTCCCCTGTTTCCCTACATGTTCCCTGCTTCCTTACATGTTCTCTACATGTACCCTGCTTCCTTACATGTTCCCTGTTTCCTTACATGTTCCTTACATGTCCCCTGCTTCCTTACATGTTCCCTACATGTACCCTGCTTCCTTACATGTTCCCTGTTTCCTTACATGTTCCTTACATGTCCCCTGTTTCCTTACATGTTCCCTGCTTCCTTACATGTCCCCTGTTTCCTTACATGTTCCCTGTTTCCTTACATGTTCCCTGCTTCCTTACATGTTCCTTACATGTCCCCTGTTTCCTTACATGTACCCTGCTTCCTTACATGTTCCCTGTTTCCTTACATGTTCCCTACATGTACCCTGCTTCCTTACATGTCCCCTGTTTCCTTACATGTCCCCTGTTTCCTTACATGTTCCCTGTTTCCTTACATGTTCCCTGTTTCCTTACATGTTCCTTACATGTCCCCTGTTTCCTTACATGTTCCCTGCATGTCCCCTGTTTCCTTACATGTTCCCTACATGTCCCCTGTTTCCTTACATGTTCCCTGCATGTCCCCTGTTTCCCTACATGTTCCCTGTTTCCTTACATGTTCCCTACATGTCCCCTGTTTCCTTACATGTTCCCTACATGTCCCCTGTTTCCCTACATGTTCCCTGTTTCCTTACATGTTCCCTACATGTCCCCTGTTTCCTTACATGTTCCCTACATGTACCCTGTTTCCTTACATGTTCCCTACTTCCTTACATGTTCCCTACTTCCTTACATGTTCCCTACATGTCCCCTGCTTCCTTACATGTTCCCTGCTTCCTTACATGTTCCCTACTTCCTTACATGTTCCCTACTTCCTTACATGTTCCCTACATGTCCCCTGCTTCCTTACATGTTCCCTGCTTCCTTACATGTTCCCTACTTCCTTACATGTTCCCTACATGTCCCCTGCTTCCTTACATGTTCCCTGCTTCCTTACATGTCCCCTGTTTCCCTACATGTTCCCTGCTTCCTTACATGTTCCCTACATGTCCCCTGTTTCCTTACATGTTCCCTACATGTACCCTGCTTCCTTACATGTTCCCTGTTTCCTTACATGTTCCTTACATGTCCCCTGCTTCCTTACATGTTCCCTACATGTACCCTGCTTCCTTACATGTTCCCTGTTTCCTTACATGTTCCTTACATGTCCCCTGTTTCCTTACATGTTCCCTGTTTCCTTACATGTTCCCTGCTTCCTTACATGTTCCTTACATGTCCCCTGTTTCCTTACATGTACCCTGCTTCCTTACATGTTCCCTGTTTCCTTACATGTTCCCTACATGTACCCTGCTTCCTTACATGTCCCCTGTTTCCTTACATGTCCCCTGTTTCCTTACATGTTCCCTGTTTCCTTACATGTTCCCTACATGTACCCTGCTTCCTTACATGTCCCCTGTTTCCTTACATGTTCCTTACATGTCCCCTGTTTCCTTACATGTTCCCTGTTTCCTTACATGTTCCCTACATGTACCCTGCTTCCTTACATGTCCCCTGTTTCCTTACATGTCCCCTGTTTCCTTACATGTTCCCTGTTTCCTTACATGTTCCCTACATGTCCCCTGTTTCCTTACATGTTCCCTACATGTCCCCTGTTTCCCTACATGTTCCCTGCTTCCTTACATGTTCCCTGTTTCCTTACATGTTCCCTGTTTCCTTACATGTTCCCTACAAGTATATGTTCTGAACGGTAAGGTGTCCTCGGGTGCTTTGAAAGGCGGCTAAAAAAAAAAAGTATTATTATAATTAGTGTGGGAGAGGAACACAGGGATTTGAGCCTCTGCAGACCATTTACATGCACTAACACCTACAGAACTACAGAAGTGGAACATAATGCATGTTTCCCCCCTGTGACTCAGATCATAAATTGTATGAGTCCTTCCAACTTTCACCAAGTTACATGAAAATCAAACAATATTTATGTTTCTTTGTTGACACAGAAAACTCAAAGCCGCTCACACACTGACAGCAGAGCCGGGAATCAAACCAGCAACCTCTTGATCTCCAGGCGACTACTTCACACACTCATTAGGACACACACACACACACTGAGCTGGACACTCACTGATCTGAACACACACACACACTGATCTGAACACACACACACACACACTGATCTGAACACACACCCTCAGGATATTTGCAGATTTCCCCCCCCCCCCCTCTCTCTCTGTGATGCTGCCACAGCGGGTGAAAACAACAGAGTGTGAGTGTGACGGCTGCAACAGAAATAGACAGAAAGCGACTGAAAGAGGAGGGTCTGCTGGGCGAGAGAGAGAGGGGGGAAAGAGAGAGAGAGGAGAGAGGAGAGAGAGAGAGAGAGGAGGAGAGAGAGAGGGGGAGAGAGAGAGAGAGAGAGAGAGAGAGGAGAGAGAGAGAGAGGAGAGAGAGAGAGGGGGGAGACAGCTCACTACTAGTGAGGCGAGAGGAGGAGGGAGGCAGATCACAACTTCCCTCTCTGAGATATTTCTCTCCTGCAGGAGGGCACGATGCTGAAAACCTGATCTGCTGCGTTAGCGTTAGCGACATGAAGACAGAAGAGGGACAGGAAGTGACATTATGTTGGATATAAAACACGCTGAGCCTTTTTACGTCTTTGGAGAATGAGTGAAGCGTGAAATGAAAAGGCGTTCGACCCGGAGATAAAGTCATCAGGAGTGTGTGAGTGTGTGAGTGTGTGTGTGTTAGTGATGGGATAAATGGATTTGCAAGAGATGAGAGGAAGTCTCCGCGCGATGTTTGGAATAAAACCCACGACGGAGGAATATTTTTTGATGTGAATCCACTTTTTGTTTCCACTTTGACCGGTGCACGCTTGGTTAATCTTCACAAACACCTGCTGGGTTGGGTTTGTTCGCCTGGACCTCCCTGACGCTCTGGTTCCTGCTGTTTACCCTCCAGATGGATGCATGTGCGATCGCCTCATTCAACATTAACCGGGTCTCA